TATTTTTTCCTGCAACTCTCGCTTGCGATCAGCAGTTGCACCATTGCTGTTGGAATATTCAACTTGCGTCATGCCTCTCACCAAGGTATCCGCTGAGTGAAGTCGTTGAGTCATCGAACACCAGCTGATAGCCAAAATCTTCTGATGAACATTTGCTAGGACACGATGAAACTGCTAAGATCACAAAGAGCTAATTTCAAAACAACCATTTTTTAAAATTGCGCTCGTTTGCATGTTTTTGCGCTCGTTTGCACGTTTTTGCGCTCGTTTTGCGCCTACTCTAAGTGCCCCAGAAATTGGAAATCCAACGCTTCAAGCCAATTGGAAGTAAAATCCACTCAGGGTACATCTAATTGATGCCAAATTCAGAGCGTAGTGACAAAAACCACTACTCCTAAGAACCCAGTGCACAAATCATCAGCTCTCACACGCGATTGTGCAACAGAAGCAGTTCATACTGCATCCTCAAGTCTCGATCACCAAGCACCTGCGTCAGCGTATGTCAGCGTATGCTCGCGCACTGTTGGTTACAGTATATGGGTAGAACAGAGTGACATACGGGTATGATTCTTTCATGCACTGCAGTGAATACAAGCCTCGTTTGCATAATCACGCACAAAGGTTGTGATGGTGTCCCGCCAATCTTCTGGGATCCTGTAGAGTAGGTGTGAAAGTTAAGGAAACGACAAATACATTGCAAGTTTATGTGCATCATTGTGCTATATCCAACCTTGTGTGCTTCGAAGAGATGACATACTGGAGAGCTGGTAGAAGATTTGCATCCAACCATAAATCATCATCCCTAGACAATGGTAGCTGATTGAACTGTTCTTGAGGACTCATGGTGCCGTCAACTTGTGGTTTGAATCTCAAGTCTTTCCGTCCAGGCGAGTCAACAAGATGTTGCTCGTAGGCGCGCAGCAGGCCCTCACCAAAGCCACGAGGATATGCCCTGGGCAGTCGATTTCAACAGGGTACCATCACTTGCAAGGAATGGTTGAGACCAGGGACTGAGAGGATCGAAGGTTTTTGGTTCCACTCCAACGTTTTTCGCCTTTGCCATTGATATACCTTCCTTAGAGTTGAGGATGCATGACAATGTACCCTGAACACTGTGACACTACAGGATTTGTATTTGCACTTCTTGCATGTCTAGATGCGACAAAGTGTTTTTCCAGTCCGTTTCTCCTTCTCAGCTTTGGTCAGACGACCATTGTCGAGCATACCAACGTGTTCCATGTTCGAGTAGCATATGGTTCGCTTGCTGGTGGGAGCACCGTGCAACATCATCCAGAAAGTCGTTGAAAAAACCTCGATATACTAAACATGCAAAACGTGTTCATAACCTGAATCACCAATTCAAAGATCTAAGATACGAACAAAGGCAACCAGGTTTGCCATCCATTCAAATCGTGGGTGCCGTTGTAGCAATGACTTGTCCGGTTGCTCGATGACCCACACTATGTTGCGGGACATAGCTAGCAAGATGCAAAGCACTAACCTGGGCCATCGATGAAACTGCTACAAGGCTAGTCGATCCAATGCTATATGGAAGAGTGTTCCAAAATGCAGTTCAGTTCAAACCATATTAATGACAAAAAGGTTCATAAGCAAAACAAAGCATCCGGCTCACCATGCATGAAGACCCCCGGACCCAGGCTAGGAATATGTTTCCTGCAACATTGATGAAATTCCTCAAGGACGTGCCCCTCGCCGGAACTCCCCAGGAGCTACAATCTGGAGCAGCCAGCCACAAGCTGTTCGGCTCCATATGCAGCAAGACCCAGATGGATAACCTAAGCGGAGCAGGAAGTGTCGACTGTTATTGTTTGATGTAGGGGGTTGCTGTCAAGACCAAGAAACACAAATCCGGGACTTCCCAGGAAATTCATGGAAGCTTTGTCAAAGTCCCAGTCATAGGATGCAGTACGATATCCCGATTCAAACCTTGGAGCAGTTGCGTTATCGTGTTATTTAAATTGCAATGGACAACGGTGGTATGAAAAAGAGCTGTGTCTTTCTTAGGTCATGACATCACTTGCGTAACAGCCTGCTTTCCGGAAAACATCTCGCAGAAATCGAATCGCTTTCCAGCATGTTCATTGGGGAGGTCCATCCATCCAATCAGAAGAACCTCAATAGGATCCAGTCAATCAGAAGCACTTCAGGTGTTCGACGTGGACGAAAAGGTTAAGTCCAGTACCAAGGCTATAAAGGCCTCCCAATGAAAACCAAGTGTACATGAATCCGCAAAAAGCTTTGTTCCTTGCCTTGGGGGCTTGTACATGTTGTAAAGCACTCACAGGCTCCCACATATGAGCAACGCTTCAAAGTTCAGGCTCACCAAGAGCTTGATTTCCAAAAAACGGCTTCGATGATCTAGATCAGCAAACATTCATGCACACAGCATGCACGTTGAACCGTCAAAAAACACACGACAATCCAGCCAAGGTAGACCGATCAATGCAGCTTTCCTTCTCCACGCCATCGAGGTGCCACCTGTGGGGAAGAAACAGGATGGGTGATGATAGATCAGAGAAGGGTTGCAAAGGCATACACACACATGCACGTATGACCGCTGCATCGCAGATCGAGTGATTATTGTTTTCCAACCCCTTGTAAAGCTGCGTTGAATACAGCACTAAGCTAAGACCTTTGCAAGATGGTGTGTTACCCATGCATCGACGACGTAACGATATCCCGAAGTGGTTGCTTCAGATTGCAACCCGGAAAACCCCTAACCCCTAAGAGCCGTGTTCATCACAGCTGCTCACAACTTCATGCGCTTGAAGACCATTTCAAGCGCCACCGATAGCAGCATAAGCCTGATTGCATCAGAAGGCCACGAGAAGAAAACATGCATGCATTTCATGGTTTGATGTCAAGTTTGCATCCATGTGCACGTACATTAATTGCATAAAGCATGTAATCGCGGTCTAGACACTTCTTTGGCAAGTTTAGTTGCTTCATCCGCGGTCTTTCCAGCATTGAGGGCTGCCTTCTTCGCTTTGTGGTAGGCCGAACTCTTGAGTGATATCAGTTTTTTTCTCTCCAAAGCCTTCTCCTCCTTGTCTGACCTCACGGTAGAAGAAGTCGCTCCGCTTTCTCGCTTGGACTTCGAGTTTGCCTTTGCTCTTGGCCTTTTGCTGCTGTCACTGCCTTCGTTGATCTTCTCATTCTCCTCACATGGCTCGATATTTGCCTTCCTCTTCTTCGATGGTTCCTTTTCTTCTGGTGTGCTGGTTTTTGCACTCTTGGAATCCTCCTTGGGCTCGGCATCCAACTTGTCAGATGCTTGCTTGCGCTTTCCCTTGCCGGCCTTGACCTCAGCCTTCTCTTTTCCCTGGCCATCCGAAGCCACAGTGTCACAAGCTTTGGATCTCGGCCGCATTCTTTTGCCAGCATCGTTGCTCTTCTCACACTCAGGCTCACCATTTGCATTTGCCTCAGGGCAAGAACTCTTGGCTTCTGAGGCCACAGGTTTCTTCCTTGAAGCATTCCTTGAAGGCTTGCTGCTGGAA